ATGCCTTCATTGTGTTTGGCCGGGGCCAAACCCTGGTTCCTACGACCTTGCGGCATCATGTATATCTAAATATTTATATGAAACGTTACCTGCCACTTCACAAAACGCAGTATTATGAGTATATTGTTCAGATTGTTGTTAAGACACTATTACCAACATGGGGACGAGGTAGGTACCGTGAAAATGGACAATTTTTATTCGCTGACCACGTTGTCCATGTGCGCCGCCATTACCGGAAGTAATATAGGAATAGGTTTTTGACGTTTGGGCGAGTTTAGGGTTTTTTTTATTATCGGCCGCAGCAGCGGCCGATCTATTTGTGGTTGTGTTAGAAAGTGCACATGGGGAAATGAGATGTTATTATTTTATCAGTTCAGTAAAATAATTCTCAAATAATAGCATGTATAAAACCATGAGTAAAATATTTTAAAAACTTGCTTTAAATTAAGTTTTAATTGTTGTTATTTTGTTTCAATTTCATTATCATTTTGCATCAGATAATTGATATTTTATGGTTAAACAAAAAGAGTTTACAATAGGTACTCCCCATCCAGGGAGTGTGTAAGATACGAAAGGAAATCGTTTTGATTTTTCGGACAATAATGACGTGCACGTGGTAAAAAAAAAAAAATGAAAAGTTGCTCTACTAGTAAAACTTGTTTGAAAATCTTACAGCTGCGAATGACCCAAAGATTTTTCACGGCACCATGCCGAATAACCTACTCTGCAGAAACTATATAAGCATTATCACGTTACAAATAACTAGGGTATCAGCACGTGGTATATCTTGAAAGGCATACATCTTAATTTTGCATGATGACAATAATTTCTCATATCATAGGCGTCGGAACCGGGGGGGGGGGGGTGGTTAGCTCCCCCCACTGTTATTGCAAATATATATACATTATATAGGCATTGAAAATGGGCTTTACAATTTTTTGTTGGTTAAGCCCCCCCCCCTTTTAATTAGCTCACCCCCACCCTCACCCCACTTTTGATTTGCTTCCGACACCCATGCATATTTAGACTTTTTTACACCGATAAATCCATTGGATGAGCAAATGCACTAAAATTTCTAGTTTAAAATATATTTTATTCATTGAATTCGATTGAACAGCAGGCATGATACTAAAATTTCTATCAAATTTTTAAAAATATTTATTTATTTATTTTGCTTTGAAGACAGCCTGAAATAAAAATGATCACTATTTCAGCTTTGAATATCCTGTTCTTTTCTTGCATGAATGCTTTGAATTGTGAAAGTACTTTTTTTGACATGTTAAATATGTTAGCGGCCGATTTGATGCTTTGCATCAATTAACTTGTTAATTTATTTATTTTGCTTGTCAAGAAATTTCTGGGATTGGATTTTTTTTTTGACTGGGGTGGACCCCCCCCCCCCTGGAAAAAAATTCTGGTGGAGTTTAAATTTTCAGCTTAAACGTTTCGCTGCATATGGTTATCAAAAAGATATTTATAATGAAATGCAGAGAGTATATATATGTGGAGAATTGGATTAACATGAATCTTTAATAAAATTATGTCTTAAATGAAATTATTTCATTTCCTTAGAAAACGGGAAACGTCGATTAATTTTTTAAGTTTTGAAGTAGTCAATGCGTCGTAAAATGTCTGAAAACAATCGCTTGTTCATGGTAGAAATGTAGTAAATATCTCTTTTAACCAATACATTTAATTTGATTTCCAAAACAAATTATCAAAAAAATCTTTTTCACGAAAAAAGAAAATCCACGTGTACTAGCGCTCTTTGTTTACGGTTTCTCATAGGTGTGTCACAATCCTGTTTTCTGATTGGACAGAAAACCATCTGATGTGTTTAGGAAATATATTTATAGCAACTTGAGGTTAACGTTCTTGACTTAAGTCAATTTGGAATGCTATGAACACTCTGAAATGTGGATTTAAATATAAATTTTTATAATTTATTTTTGTTTAATAGTTATGATTTCATTGAATTCTAATAACAAGAAATAGATTAAAGAAGATTTTTTGATTTACTTTTTTCACTTTATGTTAATTCAAGAATATTATTAGCTCTTCTGAGCCAAAGGCTCAAAGAGCTAATGCTATGGCCATTTGTGCGGTGTGCGGTGTGCGTTAACTTTTTAGAATATGGGCCATAACTCAAGAACCTCTTGGCCAATCAGTACCAAATTTGTCACAGGGTATCCTTGGCCCAAGGGCTACCATTTGTACTAAAATAAGGGTTGGGACCCTAAAACAAGGGGAGATAATCAGGAAAACAAAACCAAAAGTACTGGTTGCTAAAAAATCTTCTTCTCCAGAACCACCAGGCAGATTTTCACCAAACTTACATACAAGGATCAGGATATGTTGAAGATTAAAAATTGTTCAAGGCATGACCCTGGGGCAAAGGGCGTGGTCTCAAGGTCACTTCAAAGTTGACCTAAATTTACAATTAATAAAAACGTGTATATTTTTCTTACTATAAGGACTAGAATCATCAAATCTTGTAAGTTGATGCATCTTACGACTTCACATCATGTTAACTCAAAAGTAGGTCATGGTGACCTACTTTTTAAATTTTGCGGGGATTTGTTTTCAAATTGATTTGAAGGCATATTTTAGACACTTTAAGGCCTATGATCATCAAACTTTGTCAGTTGATGCATCTTGGGTCCTTGAACAATGTCAACTTAAAAGTAGGTCACTGTGACCTACTTTTTGAACTTTATGACTTATCCTTTTAAAAACATTAAATCCCATTATTTCAGACACTGGGAGGTTTAGAATCATCAAATCTTGTACTTTGATGCATCTAGGGACCTTAAAACATATTTATAACAAAGTAGGTCACTGTGACCTACTTTTTAAATTTTGCCGACATTTGTTTTCAAATTGTTTAAAATGCATATTTTGATTACCTTCAGACCTACGATCATCAAACTTGGTCAGTAGATGCATCTTGGGTCTTTGAAAAATGTCAACCAAAATGTAGGTCACGATGACCTACTTTCGACATTTTATGGCTATATTTCAGTATCTTAGGCATTTCTTAGAATCATCAAACTTTGTGAGTGGATGCATATTTAGTTTTCGGAGAGTGACGACCAAAAAGTAGGTCATGGTGACCTACTTTTGACATTTTATGGCTTTATTTAAGTATCTCCGGTACTTATTGGCTTAGAACCATCAAACTTTGTGAGTTGATGCATCTTGGGTTTTCGGAGAGTGACGACCAAAAAGTAGGTCATAGTGACCTACTTTTGACATTTTGTGGCTATAATTAAGTATCTCTGGTACTTATTGACCTAAAATCATCAAACTTTGTCAGATGATGCATCTTGGGTTTTTGGAGAATGTCGACCAAAAAGTAGGTCACAGTGACCTACTTTTGAATATCTCAGGTACGTATTAGCTTAGAATCATCAAACTTTGTCAGTTTAGGCACCTTGGGTTTTCGGAGAACGTGGACCAAAAAGTAGGTCACTGTGACCTACTTTTGACATTTTTTGGCTATATTTGATTAAATCTGGTACTTGTTGGCTCGGAATCATCAAACTTTGTCAGTTGAGGCATCTTACGGTTTCATTGAATGTCCAACAAGAAGTAGGTCACGGTGACCTACTTTTGAATATCTCAGGTACTTATTGGCTTAGAATCAGCAAATTTTATCAGTTTAGGCATCTTGGATGTTTGGATAACGTCGTCCAAAAAGTAGGTCACCGTGACCTATTTTTGACATTTGATGGCTGTATTTAATTATCTCTGGAACTAATTGGCTTAGAATTGTCAAACTTTGTCAGATGATGCATCTTGGGTTTTCAGAGAATGTTGACCAAAAAGTAGGTCATGGTGACCTACTTTTGAATATCTCAGGTACTTATTTAATTAGAATCATCAGTCTTTGTCAATTAATGTATCTTGAGTCCTCAGAAAATTCAAATCAAAAGGTAGGTCACTTTGACCTACTTATGGTATTTGATAATTATATTATAATATCTTCAGTCTTAACTGGCTAAATATTATCAAACTTTGTAAGTTGATGCATTTTGGGTCTTATGATACTAATAGAGTTGGAGGCTTCTAATAGAAGTGATAGATTGTACAATTTATCAGAAGAGCGATTCAAGGCCCTTGGGCCTCTTGTTAATTTTTAGGATAGTTGTATAAAAACCCCATTCTATCATTAATTCTGAAAAAGTTCTTATTGTAACTTAAGAAGAAAATGATGAGAGAGGTACAATTAATCCCTTGGGATTAATTATCTAGCCTGCTGCAGAAAATTTAGTAGGCTTTTCTTTATCTGTCACTTTAAGATTAATGAAAACCTTTGTCTGCAACTGCTGTTTGTTTGAAGTTAAGGTCAAGCCTTCATGATATTTGCATTCATTGAAGGCTGGCATTTTATATAACACAAGCTTCATAATTGTTTAAATATACATTCATTGTTAAGTTGTTCTTTACTGCCTAATGTAAATACAAGGATATTATTTTCAGGTTTTTGAATATTCAGGAATTATCTTGAAATTTTAAGAATACAGTTGCTGTTGCTTATTCTTCGTACATTTTTTAATCATTCCGTAAGCTGCACCCTATTAATTCTACCCCATGGTGGGGCCCTTGCTGACTGGTCAGTTTTCTAGTTGCCTCAGTTCTGTTTGTAATATTTGTAGTATATGACTTTATCTTATTCCAGGTCCGACCTTACAGTAGGTGATGAGGTGATGGACTCACTCGCCCCATTTATTGTTCTGAAGGGCCATGACACAGATGTAAGTCTCAGATTCTATTATCAGAATTTTGATAATACCCATGTAGTATTTATAACAGTAATTTGAAAGATTTGTTTGAATTTAATATATGCATGTTGTAATATTAAATAAATATATTGTAAATTTCTATTTTTTAGAAGTTAGATATAAGGGCAGATCACTCTAACTGCAGAAAAATACATTAGAATCAGAACTCTTAAGTGTGCAGTGTAGAGAGGGTTCTTAATCTTGCTAAAGGCAGAGGAAATAAAGCAGAAATGAGGACTTTCTACAGTTTAAGCCTTTATATTTTTCTGATAAAATATGAGTCCAAATTCAATCATTTATCATAAAGTAGTTACATATTTAGACACATCCAAAAATAGACTACCCATGAAGGTGGATTTTTAAGTAGTTTGGAGGTTTCTAGAAAATTTGAAATGTTATTCATATTTTAAAATTCAGTCTTTTTTAGGTTGAACTTTTCAAAAATGACCAAACTTTGCAAGTCTGTTAATGAAACAAATTTTCTCATTAATGTTCATGTAATTCATTTCATTTCATTTAAGTAGATGGTTTTAACTTACACGTGTATGATACTGCTTGTTTTCAAAAACTCCAATTTTCGCAATGTAGACTTTTATAATTGAAAAACTAAAAGAAAACATTTGATAGATTGTGGCTAAATAAAGTGTTTGTGAACCAGTTTCTTATTTTCTTGTTTAATTCCAGACACTTGAAGGTCTTTCACTCAGACAGCTAGAAGAAGGTATATTCTTCATGGTTTCACCAAATCTGAAGAAGTTCACAAAACTACGTTCACTTGACCTCCAGGACTGTAACATATACTTACAAGAAGGCAAAACAAGGAGTAGGACCATAGGAAGGGCCATTATGGTCAGGACTTTGTCGTGCTTTGAGAATCTAGTCCGGTTAGATCTGAGTTTCAATTACTTGTTGGGATGTTTGGGAGAAATTTTGGACTCATTAAGGCTTCCCTTAGAATTTCTAAGTCTTCGGAACTGTGACTTGAACGATCATGACTTGGAGTGCTTGGGCAATTCAAAACATGCACTTTCATTGCAGGAATTGAACCTGAGCAAAATATGTCAATTTTCGATTTATGACAATGACAGAATTTCATCCATAAACTTGTTCAAGGTTGTGTTTTGTTTCAAGAATGTTAAGCTGCTCAACTTGGCACAGAATCACTTTCAGGATGCCTCCATTCCAAATTTCTGTGAAAAACTTCCTCAGAATTTGGAGAAACTTCAGTACTTAGACATTGCTGGAAACGTGCTAACAGAGGAAAGCATACTACAAATATGCAAAGCTCTTGCCAAATTGAAGCACTTCCAGTGGTTTAGACTAACGTGTTCAACCAATCTTCTAGACGAAGCTCTGGGACATTTAAACCAAGCACACGAAAATGCTTTGCAGGCAAAACTTCGAATTTGTAACCTGTTGTCTGCTTTGGGAAGGAAAGATATCCACATCGAAATAGTGAGATTGTCCTATGCAATATTCGTTGATCTCATGGATGTAATGGAAGTATAAGAATTACTTGTGCTGTAGGGCATAGTTCCTTTTCATGCATGTGTACATGACATTGAAAAAAGGGTCACTTAATTACATTTCCATTGTGTATATAAGGATGACAGTATTCATTGTTTTTCCCCTCATTCCTGCTGGATCATAAATATGAAAAGAAAAAAAACCCATTTGATATTGTTTTATTTTGTATTTTGCATTATTTGTATTCTTTTTACAGAATAAACAGTATCACAATTATATTGCATTTGTTTAAATATTAAACAAAACTGTTTAGATAAAACAAACATATGACCAACATAATGACTGAGACAATTTTTTTTATCATATCAAAATTGACATAACATTTGATATAATTTTAAACACAAAGATATGAGTTAGAAGCTCAGTCAAAAATGTCTTGTGAAGCTCTGTTTACCGGATAGACTAATAAAGGCAATACTGGCATGGGCAAGTGTTTTTATGAATACTGATAGGTAAGAACATGCACAACAATATTTCGTTGCTTTGGCACATATAATACATAAAACTCATTCATCATAGTGTTTCTGCAGAGCTTGCAACAACAAGTTTGAATGAGTCTGAAGCGTCATTCTGTAGAATATCCTCGCACATTCCTGAGGTAACAATTTACAGATGAATACATCTTTTTAGCATTGTATTTCAGTCTGGTTTTCTAAGTAAACAACAAAAAAACAATAACAAATATTTAATAAATATGAACGGATTTCTGTGAAATGATAGTTTCTGTGGCAAAACATTGTCACTATGATGTAGAAAATAGACGTTTTCCGACTCTCTTCAGTCGAGTTGTGTATTTCTCTACATCTCTGTTCAGATTTCTTAGCAATCTCCTGTCTCCATTTCTTCGTTTCTGATATTTTCTATATTTGGACATTTTCAGAACTTCTTGGGGTTTCCTTTTGAATAGAGCTAACATTGATTTGGCTTCCTTGTACTTCTGATAGTACCTTTGATACTTTTTAGGTAATTTGCTCACGTCCTCTTTCCCCCATTGTGAAACGTCCATAGGATTGGTCGTGGTAGGGTTTGCTGACTTGGTCGTTTTTAGTGAAGGTCCTTGTGTTGTTTTTGGTTCGATATACGCTACTGTGGGTGCCACTTCGGACAAGGAGACCTTTTGTACATTACCAGCGGATTCAAACAAAGACATTGAAGGATTGGTATACAAGTTGAAAGATGACTTCGGAAGAAGATTATATTTGACCTCGTAAATTCTTGGAACAGGTCCTTTCTTTGTAGTGTAAAATGAGTGCAATCCTATTTTGGATGATGGGTTGAAAGCCAGGGCAGTCGTGGGTTGTTCCTGAGCTGTAGTGTCAGGTAGGAACTTGATTTTGCTGGCTAAGGTGAATCGAGGATTAGGCGTTTTGGGGGAAAGAAGAGAACCGTGATGGAAAGGAATCTGCTTCAACCAACTGAATTGTTTTCCTAGTTTGCTCTGAAGTTGAGAGAGGAAAGACGGGCCAGTACCAGGCATGAAGAGGTTTCTGTTTTCCAAAACAGATTTTGCCGAAAATGTCGTCGTTGCTGAGGGTGTTTTAGTCGAAAATACTGGAGTAAGAGAAGGCATGGCTTTCATTGTGGTCTTCTGGACATGCTTTTGGTTTATTTTGGCAGCCACACTATTTTCAATGGCTTTCTTGATATGGTGGAATAAGCCCGACTTAGTTTCAGTTTTAGGTGTCTTTTTGGTTGTTTTTGTCTTTGTTTTAATAAGTGCCATCTGTGCGGATTCAACTGTCTGTGTTCCTCCAATGCTTATATCAGCACAGTTTTTAAAGACTTCTTGAAGGCCGCAGCCTAAGCAGCTTGTTCCATTTTTATCTGTGCCCCAACTGTTTCCTAAAAAAGACAAAATAGACTTTCAGAGTAAGATTCAAAGTTGTTTTTATTTTAAAAAAAAAGAAAAAAGGAAGGACTATTACTTGTGTATCTCAGTTAAACTCATTTTTTACCTGTGTTGTAAGTCCATTGTAATACGCATTGCTCACACCGTATCCCTCTTGGTAGGAGCAAGGTCAGATGGTACTTGTCTTTTCCAGTCTCGATGGGATTGTCTGGGTAGTAGCGAGTGTATTCACTTTCAGGGGTGCCTTCCTTGATGATCATGAGATGTTCGTCCAGACACTGCTGAGACACTGGTGTGCGGATATCATTGTGGGGACAGATCCTGAACTCGAAATACCCCATATGATAACTTGTGATCTGAATTGTCGTTTTCATTTCGGTGGATCCGGCGGGAAGTTGCTCGACAATGATTCCTTTGGCATATTTTCCACCTGCTTCGTGTTCACGGGGACCTTTATAAGCGTCTCCACAAACACCACATTTTCCACCAGTTTTAATGTATTCCTGCAAAAAATGAAAAACGTCATTAAATGAAATATTGAGATAATGAACAGTATTCAAACTCACATATCCATTCAAACAATACAAATTAGGAGCAGAGATAACATGGACCCCCTAAAATATCAGATATTGGATCAGGTCCATGGCGAAGTGACCAGTCCCTGCCAATCTGTAACTTTGAATTATTCATGCTTTATTCGGAATGACAGAGAAGTTATGAAAAGTATTTTGAAGTTTACCTCTATTCCGCCACAGAAAAGTCCATTGTCGTCATAGTTCGGAGGAGTGTCGTATCCGTATCGCCAGAGTGACCCCCTTTGAGGAGGGGACAGAAGCAATCCATGTTGGCTACTCCGTCCCAACAGTGACGCCAAAGTCAATCCAATAACGAGGAGTGAGGAGTACATTTCTACAAAGAGAATAAAGTGTATCATTAATAAATATGAAACATAACAGAAACTAACCACATCTGAATGCACTGTTCATGGTTTGGGGACTTTTTTTCTTACTGTTGGAGGGTATTGTCCGATGTAAGATTTATCTTTTTAATGTTTGCACATTTCACGACTTTTTCAAAAGGTGATATAAATTAAAGTGTGTAGTAATTAAATAAAGACACGATTTTTATTATCTTTTGAATAATTGAAAAGCATAGAAGCGACAGATCAATCTTGACACCACGGTTTACCATAAAATAATTAAATTAATCAAAGTTCTAAGTTAACATGATCTATGACATTCAGAGGCCACAACATGATTTTCTTAATCGACTGTGGGGTTTTTGTTATTGAAAGTGAAGGATCATAGAAAATTTCAGTATTTATTATAGTTATTCACGTATACATTGTATATCTATAATTTTTTGCTTAGTTTTGTGGGTTAACTTACAAGTATTTAACTTTGATATTGATATATTATAGTTAACGTTTAAAGAAACTGTTTTTTTCAAAATGATGTATCTGTAACAGTTGTTATTTTTTCTTTAATCGAATTATCTTGCTTGATTAAAATACAAATCATTCAGTGTTAAATACTGAGTTGATTTCAAGAAAAAAGAAAGACAAAATGAAAATATGGCATCATTAGTTTTTATATAAAACTCTTTAATGATACATCTTTTTCTATGCATTTCATTCTAGACGGCTTCATGAATATACATGTGGTAAGATACGGCGCCAAATTATTTTTTAAATGTAAAATTTGTCCTAACAAAACTCATGTTCTTTGTTGTTTTGACAGTTGATGTGTGACATCAAAACAGTTTTGATGGAATAAAATTTTGTAAATTTAATATTAAAATTCCTTCACACTTTCAAAACCTTCCAGTAAACGGTTCTGGATGTCACCAATTTGAATTTTGTTCTGTCGGCATCAGAACATTTTTCAATAACTTATTTAGAGAATTTATGAAGAAAAAAAAATTAAAAGTCATCCTTTTAATTAAGTGCTTCGGGCATTAAAACAGATTTCAATAACTTATTAATTAAACGTTTGACATGTCTGAATATATTTGTCAAATGGACAAAAATTACCATTTCATAACAATATCCAAGACATGTGGTTTTAGTGTTTTGTCTCAACAAATTGCAGGTGCAAATCTACTTAATTAAAATTTTCATTTCAAAAAGAAAAGACCCCCGCAGCCAGAGAAAATAGTTTTTAGACAATGAATTTCAAGAACTTTCTATAGAAGATGGATGTCTTGGCCGAAGTTTTCAGTTTGGAACTTATTGAACAAATGTTCAGTGATTCTGAGCATTCATGCTTGATTTGGAACAATTTAGAACATTTTTTGAGGCCGTTTGATGTCATGTCATTGCCCCTTATTTAAAGGTTATTGACCAGAACTTCAATCTATAAAAAATCCATTGTGCTCCCTTGATATTAACTAATTCTTAATTAAAAATGTTATATACAGAATTAAAAGAAATGTTTATAACAAAATATTTATTGATGAAAACCTCAGTTTGTATAAATAATTATTAAAGTTATTACCAATGGAAATGATCTCAAATCATTATGGTGTTTATTAATGTAATTATTATTCTATCTTTGTTAATTGAAATAAAACTGGCAGATTAAGTTGTGATGTGGTATTTTAACATATAAGAAGTCAATGTTCATGTCTTTCAATTGTAACCTCAAAATGAATAATATTGTTGCCATCAAATGTCATCATTATCTCAAATTTTTAGTGATATAGTAATTCATTTCCTATATAGCTCATGGTTATTGAAAAAAAAATTCCTGTAAATATAAAATTCAAAAGAGGGTCCTCAAGAATGCTTTCTCTGATAATTGTTACTGTGTGGCTGGAATAATTTGTAGATTAACTCTTTTAAGATTTATGAAGTTTCACGTTTTATGTCTCCCCTCTGCGAACGAATGTCGTGTAGCAAAGCGGAAACCAACACGGCTTGCGGTTTAAAGCTTTGATTTATGACCAAAATGTGCAAATAGTCACCCTCTTCTTAATTTCTCGTTTTTCATTCTAGCTGTCAGCTGCAGGTTTAGAGAAGGTTTTAATCATTTCTTGACAAGCGCGGTATCTTTTGAGAAAAAAAGTAAAAATTTTATGAAATGTTATATAATATGCCTTTTTAAAAAGGTGGTTATGTTTCATAAAATGAAAATGTCGCTTAAAATTTATTAATATACGATGATAAAAGATTTCGTTAATCAAAAGTGACAAAGACGATTCTTTTTGTATAGCGAAGAAATTAGTCCCCTTATTCGCATGTAATGATGATGTTGAACAGCTAGATGCATTCATATACTTGTATATATATATATATGAAAGAAATTTGTTTGAATATTTTTTGTGATTTTTAGTGAATCGACCTCAAAAAAAAAAAAAAACCAACTTA